GGCAGCATAACAAGGCCTGGTCTTAAAAATAAAAGCAAGACGGTGTGGGCGCACAAGCCTTTAATCCCAGCCCTTGGAAGTCGAGGTAAGCAGATTGTGGGTTCGAGGCCCCCCTGGTCTATATAGTGAGTTCTAGATAGCCAGAGCTACTTACTGAGACTGTCTCTCTCTCTCACACACACACACACCAACCAACCAACCAGACAAAGCTAAAAACCAAACCAAAATAGCCCACCAACAAAACAAAGCAAAACAAAAAAATCCAGAACAAGTAACCATTGGAGTCCTTTAAAAACTCTTTTATTTATGTTTATCTTTTTCTTTTTCTCCTTACTGCACCCCAATCTCTTCCAATACCCCAATACCAGGTAGGAGAGAGAAAGGGTTAGTGGGAGAGGGGCCCAGTTCTTCCTTAGCTGCTTCCTGCTGGTTAGGGTGGTGGGGTTCCTTGGAGCCACTCCAATCCTCATTTCAGGAGATCTCCATCTTCTTGTCTCACAACAGCAACTGGGAGCAGCAAGGGGGAAGCAGCAGCCTTGTTCTTTCTCTTCTTCCACTCTCTGGGCTCTGGCCTTTATTCTCTCTCAGAGTCCTCAGATTTAAACTCACTGCAGCTGGCAAAGAGCTACTCTCAGAGCACGCACGAGGCAAATAGTCTGCTGCTGTGGGCCATCTGAGTCAGCCCCACATCCCACACCAGGGACCAAAACAAAAACATGTTCATATCCACGAGTAAAAAAGGGAGAGAAATGCATTTCCACCTGCTAACTTTGCCATCTTAAGAAATTTGGCTGGGGCTAGTGGTGGCCCAATGAAGTGGCGTGCTCTGCAGAGGACCTGGGCCTTGGATCCCTTGTCAGTGCGTGCGTGCGTGCACACACACATGCACAAACACACATGCACACACACAGTGCAGAGGTGAGAGCACACTGTGTGGGATTCAGTTCTCTCCTTGTGGGTTATGCGGTTGGGCTTGCCCAAAGCATTTTTCCCCGGGAGGGCATTTTGCCATTCTCTAGGCACTCTTAAAACAACCAGCAGGCTTCGCTGCTTTAGTAAGCTCGGGGTCAGGACACAGAGGCTGCACTTTCTTCAGAGATTATTTCCAGTTGCAGGGCCCTGCCCCACCACACGTGTGCCCTGAACACTGACATCACCAGTCAGACCCGCTTCGTTGGACTGGCATCACGCAGGCACAGCCTTGCTCTGGGTCTCTTGTGTGGCTAAACTTCCTGCTCAGCACCTCTGCTTGCCTCAGTTCCTTTCTCCAGTGTGATAGTGGCTCTAACCCAAGCCACGGTTGGTTATAACAGATGCAGAGCCAAGGGACTTCTGACATGGCGGATTGGGGGAACACAATGTCCATGCCCACACAGGTCTCGCTGGCCAGAGACAATTGTGACTGGGCCCTTGCAGAGCTGGGCGAGGAGCCTGGGCACACACAGGAGCTTTGTCTGAGTGGCTGGCAGTCCAGCTGGCATCGCAGTCCTGTTTACCATGGAAAGGCAGAGACCGAGAAGCTGGGAATCTGTAGGCTGCAGGCAGAACTGTAGATGGACAGACTGAGGCCGAAGCAGACTTCGGGCCAGTGAGGAGCAACGCAGGCGCAGGCTGGCTCCTCTCAGATTGGAACAATCGACTCATTATCTCTGCTTTTACTTTCTGAAACTGCAAACGACCTGAGAGGCGTTTACAAAAACAAAACACTTCTCATATTTATACAACAAACAGAATGTCGCCTGCCTTTCATCTGTTTCCAGCTGATGAGATAGGACGCAGTCAGGCCTGTGCAGTGGTCAGCTTGCTTCAAATCGTAAGACAACTTTATAAATTTGAATTACACACCAGGCATAATTTCAGCATGTGAGAGGTAGAGGCAGGTAGATCTCTGTGAGTTCTAGGCCAGCCTGGTCCACATAGCAAGTTCCAAGGCAGCAGAGCTACATAGTGACCCTGCCTCAACAGCAAACATAAATAAAAAATTAAAAACCTGTGTATGTGGGAGGTACCTGTGCCTCTGACACACAACTTGACACGGCCTAGAATCACATGAGAAGGGAGTCTGAGGTGAGGGATTGCCCAGAGCAGCCTGGCGTCTGGGCATGTCTGTGGGGGTTTCTTGGTTGGCGTTGACCTAGGAGGGCATAGTCACTGTGGGCAGCTCTGTCCCCTAGGCCATGGTCCTGAGCGGGGTAAGGAAGCTGAACAGGAGTCGGGGAGTGAGCTAGCAAGCATTGCTCCTCTGTGGCCTCTGATTTACCTAAATGAAAGTACCTTCCCCCATCCCAAATGTTCTAAACAAAAAGAAGGAACGTATAAATGGCTGCTCATATGGATTATTTAATATTAAAACAGAGAAAAACCAGCTAGGAAACTGGTAAGTGTGTTTTCCCCTGGTGACGGATGATGACGAGGGTGAGCTGACACCTCAGGCTATCGGTTTCCAGTGGGCACCTCTGACAGCATTTGTCACCGCACAGAGCTGCTCTGATAAACATGAGTGACAGCCAGTCTTGTGGGCCCTGTGGCACATGGCACGTGGGCTTGCTTGTTCAAAGGCTGCTGTAGCCAAACATAAAGGGGTGGGATGGTGGCCCAAACAGCAGAAATTTCTGTCTCCACATCCCTTCCAAGCTGGAAGCCTGAGGTCAGGGTGTCAGCAGGGCCGGCCCCACCAAGGCTGTGGAAAGGTTTTGTCACTGGGTTCTCCTCCTTTCACAGAGCTGTCTCTTCACTGTGTCCTGCCACCGTGCGGCACAGGGCAGACTGTCCTGTTGGCTGGTGTCCATGTCCATCCCCCGGTCTATCCTGGGTTCCTCCGTGAAGGCTGTAGATACAGTCACCCATGAGGTTCTAGGGCTGGGTCCTCAGCACAGGGAATCAGGAGGCAAGGGACACAGTTCAGCCTTGGCTGCGATCATTAGCTCCACATCAGGCACCCTCTTTATGGGACCAGACCAGGGAGGCGATCACATCTTTTCAGTTTAGGTTATGTGTAGGTTCTCAGGCCTGTTTTTTTTGACATCACTTTATATTTTGTTTCATTTTTATGTTGTGGTGTGCATATGTTACTGTTTGTGTGTGTGTGTGCAGGGGTGTGTGTGCCTGTGTGTGTGTGTAAGGGTGGGGGCCATGCACAATCCACAGAGGACAACTTGCAGGAATCAGTTTCCCCACTCAGCCATATGATCTCGGGGCCTGCACTCAGGCCGTTAGGCTCGGTGGCAGGCACCTTTCCCAGCTGAGCCGTCTCTCTGGCTCCCGGATAGGATTTTAGTGTGTCCACATGATCACGTGGTTCCCGTCTCCTCTGACAAGTCTGTAGGTGAAAACGTGTCCCTTCCAGGTGTCATTCACACCCGCACCCCTCAGGAGAGGCTGGGCAGGTGGCCTTTCTGTGCACAAGCAAGAGCCATCTTGTCTCCGCGTCTGCACTCAAAATGGAACCAAACGCTGCTGGTCAGTGGGGTCATCCAGGGTGAGGACCAGCCTGAAGCCAGTTTCACGCAGTGGGGGGTGGGGGGACAGGGCAGGGGACAGCCCGATCTCCACGCAGACTGCAGACCCGCCAACAGGCCCGGGTACCACAGTACGTGAGCGCACAACAGCGTGCTCCACACAGCCCACGGCAGCGCACAATGAGAGCCACACAAGTCCCCGCCTCCACACGGAGTCGGTTACTCTTCACACACACACACACACAGGCACACACAGACGCGTGCACATAAGGGCTCAGCCCACCATGTTCGTGACAAGGCTCAAACTGCCACCTGCCTGTCCATCACCCAACACGGCTCCGTCCATCCTCCTGGCTGGCCCTCACCTCCGTGGCCCCAAGCCTCAGCTGGCCTGGCCTGTACCCACCTCGCAGGCCTCTGGAAGCATGTCTCGGCTGGATTACTTACCTAAGCTCCTCACGGTAGTTTTCTCCGTCTCAGTTGGGAACCACTTACATGAGACCGGCCCACGGGCACGTGGGTGGGGCCTGGCCGCTGTGGGCAGCCCCGTTCCCTAGGCAGTGGTCCTGGACTCCGCCTGAGAGCTAGCTGGGCACGTGCTTCAGAGCAGACAATCTTCCTCTGCAGTGTCTGCTTCAAGTTCTTGTTTTAGTTCCCGCCCTAACTCCCCTCAGTGATGGACTGTGACCTGATGTTTAAGCTAAAATAAACCCTTTCCTCCCCTAAGTCCCTTTCGGCCAGAGTGTTTTCTCGTGGGAACCTAGAACCCCACTGCAGCAATTCTCTTCCGGTCTCTCTCAGCTTTGCTGGAGTGTGGCTTCTTCAGCCCTGTGGCCTCCTTAACCCTCTTGGATTCATCCTGTGACCTGCGCACAGAGAGATAGACGCACTGCCGAATGACCTGTACTGTGTAATAGGAGACTGGACAGCAGTCACTGATTTGGCATAAAAAGCCCCTGTTACTGCCTGTGGCTGGCCATCAAAGGGAATCAGGGTTACCCAGCAAACTACAGCCGACGGAAGTGATGTCACATCTGAGAAGGAACAGCTAAGGCGTTTTGACCTTGTGGAAAGATGTAAGCATGTCCCTCCATGTCCCCAGCATCCTGGGCTCATGGCGGCAAGTGGGGTGGGAGCATGTGGCCCGGAGGGGCGTGGCCCGTCTGACTTGCTGTGGGTCCAGCAGTGCGGGGCAAGGCTTTGCGTGGGGGTATTGACTATGTGGTGGGAGGCCGAGAGCCCGTGGGGGCTGCATCATGGATGCGGTCTACATGCGTGCGAGCATGCGTGTGTGGTGTGCTTCAGCTTTTGTTCAGATTTTTCTGTTACTCTTTGTCTTGGCCTTTGTTCCCATCCTTGTTGGCCTTTGTTTTCTCTTTGTTTCAGTCTTTGTTTCAACTTTCTTTAGCTTTTGTTTGGTCTTTCTTTAGCCTTTTGTTGAAACTTTGTGTGGCCTTTGTGTGGCCTTTGTGTAGCTTTTGTTGTAAAGTACATCTTGCTGAGGACCCGTCAAAAACACCTTCTGTAATGACAACCCCGGCGCAGAGTCCCTCCCTATATATTCTGCGTGTACTGAGGTAGGCCAGCTTCACCAGGGCCTGCCAGCCGCAGGGGTCTGCTTCCCAGCAGCGGTTGCCTGCAGGTAAGAGGATCCGGGGGGCTTGGTTGACGCTGTACCTCACGTGGCAAGGGCACACCCTCCGATGGGTCCCAGGGGAAGCCAGCCTCGATGGCAGTTGGGAGTGGGAGGACATGAAGGAACAGAGAGAGCAGAAGAGAAAGGACAGTTGTCTATGCTGATCCAGGCAGCGGGACCTTCCTGCTAAGGTTCGGGGTTTGTCTGCTCCAGGAGAGATGCTCGGCTTTCCGTGGCTTCACATCTTGGTTGTTGGAGAGGGAGCAATGGAGCTGCTGTCTCCCCCAGTCCTCATGTCTTCTTCTATTTACCGTCATGACTTATACATGAGTTTTGTGGGGCCCCACCCACCCCTGAGAATTTACATACAGTTTATGGTTAACTGGGAAGAGAGACGTTGTCTTTAGTGTCTTTAGTTGTACAAACATGTGTCACTGGTAAGTTGCCCACACTCCTGGCACCGGACCCTCACCCAGGCTCCTGTAAAGAAGCTAATGAAATGCACTGGATTTTAACCCTCCCCAAAGGGGCAAAAAACCACCAAAGCAGAAGGGGAGGCTAGTTTGGAAAGTGTGTGTGGGGCGTCTTCAGGAGTGGGGATAGAAGAGGGGGACGAGGCCTGGCGTGGCTGAAATACAGTGTGTATGCATGTAAAAATGTCGCAAGGCCCGTGACTACAGACAATGCGTATATGCTACAACAAAAACATTGAAAAAGGAGTGGACAGAGGAAAAGTTAAAAAGAAATACAAGTGGCTTTTCCTTCTCAGCTGGGAGCGGCTGTCCCCCTAAACGCTCAGCGGGGTTGGTATGTGGGGGTGTGCGGCCGAGAAACCAAATCTCCACCTGAGGGAGCCACGTTAAAGCTTCAGCTCTCACTAGATCTCGTGGAGAACCCGGAGTCCTCAGTAAAAGGAAGGTCGTGTCATGAATAAAGCAGTGGCCTTGGCTAGACTACTAGGAAGGAAGTGAACAAAGGTTTTGAATGCTGTGTGAACGACACAGGTAGGCAGAGATGGGCCTCGGCCAGGTGCGGTGACACCCGCTGTGTAGGGCTGTTTAGGGCACGCTGCTGAGTGGATTCTATCGAAAAGTTGCAGGCAGTGTAAGAATGCCAGCTGCACCCAGTTTCTGCAAACGCTGCTGACACTAGCACATTTGCCTGGTTTTTCCTTTCCTGTGTGTGCAAACTCGTCCACCTAATGCCTCCCAGCCACCTGAGATAAGTGCCCACATCACTAATGGCTCAGCGTTAGGCTGAGCACATGATCTGTTGTCCAAGCTGGAACCCATTCCCTGTGCTGTTGGCAGACAGCCCGGGCTCACACATTGCTCGGAGCTGTCTCTTTAGATTCCTTAGCCTGCAGACGTCATCAGGACGGTCATTCTCTGACAGTCTTGTGCGTGTGTGTGTGTGTGTGTGTGTGTGTGTGTGTATGGGTGTGTGTGTGTGTGTGCATTATGCGCTCACATTATGAACGTATGCACGGGTAGACTTTTGTGTAAGTGCACAGCAGTTAGAAGTCAATGTCAGCTAGCTCCTCCATCACTCTTCACCTTATTTCTTGGGAATAAGGTCCCTCACTGAGCCTGGAGCTCGGTACTTGGCCTAGACTTGTTTGCCGGAAACTTGGCTCTGCCTGTCTCCATCCCGTGCTGAGGTTACAGGTGGCCAGTGCCCATGCCTGGCTGTTCTGTGGGTGCTGGGGATCTGAACTCAGACCCTGCAGTCTGCATAGCGCATTCTCTACCCACCGAGCCATCTCCCCAGTTATGGCCTTGGCAGCTTTGAAGCTTATGTCGCCAACGTCCTTCTGTGATGCTGACAGGAAGCAGCTTTTGCTAGGGTCATGGTGGCTCCTGGTTAGACCAGGCTCCCAGCCACGCCCCTGGTGAGGAGGTTCTCCCCACCATCCGGCACGGCTCTCCCCCTCGATAGGAAGCCACAGCAGGAGGTGCCGGGACTGCTGCATCAAGGGTCAGCTGTCCTTGGAGGGTGGTTGTGCTTATCGGCTACGGGGCTGGGCAAGGGGCTCAGCTGGCACAGGTCAATCACCAACACTGGATAAAGTGTGCGGTGGTGCACTCCTGGGAAGATCAAGGTCATCCTCAGCTACACCGGGAGTGGAAGTCAGTCTGGGTTAAAGATCCTCTCTCAAGCAAAGAACACACAAACGGATTCTGTGTTCCTATGAGGAATCATTCAGAGGTGGGAAATGATGCTATTAAACCCCCCTTTTCTCAGTCAAAACGACTGAGGGTTGGGATAAGGTACAGAGGGCTCAGGAGGCAGGGGAGTGTGGAAGGACACCTGCTGCCCATACCCCAGAATTCCGCTGGGTTGGGCTAGGATGAGTGACCTTGATTATAACTATTGAGTTTATATTCAAATATGATCATGAAAACTTTTAATTCAATCTCTGAGGAAGAATAACTAGGATTTTAAGGGAGCTCCTAAGACGTCTGTACGTGAAAATTACAGAGAACGTTATAACTGTTTACAGCCGAGTTGCCCTTTGACATAAATGAGCATCATAGTTGTATGTCCACATACAGGCTCATGACCTAAGACCTCCTCTGTGTTCCAGCACCACTTCCACCATCGACCTCTCCCTAGGTGGGGGAATTAAGATTCCAAGAACTTCTTACTCTCAAAATCTGTAAGCTACAAAACACACGTATCTCCCAGGTGAAAGGACAGGAAAAGGCCACGATATGTCCACACCTGGCCACACCTCCCTAGGACCACACCTGGCCACACCACCC